GAATAATGTGTGCTAAGTTTCGTGATAATCGGTTCAGATTTAGATATAGCTCCAATATATATTTTCGTCCGATTTTATGTAAATGGTGCACGGAAGTCCCTATATATCTTTCGATTTTCGCGAAATTTGGTACAGCGAACTGAATTAATTATAGAACGATGTGTGTTAAATTTCGTGAAAATCGGTTTAGATTTAGATATTGCTCCCATATATATTTTCGTCCGATTTTATGTAAATGGTCCACCAAAGTCCCTATATTTCCTTCGATGGGTGTTAAATTTCATGAAAATCGGTTCAGATTTAGATATAGCTCCCATATATATTTTCGTCCGATTTTAGGTAAATAGTGCCTCAAAATCCTTTTATATCCTTCGAGTTGCATGAAATTTGGCATATCGTACAGAATTGAGTCTAGAATGATGTGTGCTAAATTTTGTGAAAATCGGTTCAGATTTAAATATAGCTCCCATATATATTTTCGTCCGATTTCAGGTAAATAATACACCCACGAAATTCGGCATAACGTTTTTAATAAAGTCTAGAACGATGTATGTTAAATTTCGTGAAAATCGGATTTTTTTTTTAAATTATTTTTTTCGAAGAGCGTGGTTATGTGTAAAAGGCTCCTGTCACACACAAAAGATACATGTAAGGTCTTGTCGATTTGGTCGATTTCCTAGGACAATTTTGGTAGAGAATTGACATTTGAAACCGCAACTCTCTCTCTCTTGCTATCTCTCTGTCTAACTCTCACATTCACACCAACATTGTCACGACGGATACGAACACAAACACTTGTGAATTTGCAACTAGTTGGATATCCTGTTAAAAAAATATTTGTGCAATTTCCATGTTCAGGGAATGATGTCCATTTACATGTGCCATACAATGCTGTTTCACACACACACACACACAAACACACATCATGAACACATTCTCAGGCCTTACCATATGTAATGCTATAAAAGCAGTCTAGGCTTTACATTGCATTCATCATGAATGTTGCATGTTTGTGTGTGTGGCTATGGGTTGTTCGGTCGGTCGGTCGGTCGTCGCTGGGCTTGCCTGTGAGTCTCATCGAGCTTTGTCCGCTTTAACGTCCATTAAGCAAAAGGACAAAAACAAAATGTGAAAATGAATAAATCGACAAACTGGGCGGACACTGACACTTGTAATCGAAATGAATTAAAAAAAAGAAGACACGAGAGCGGAGCGAAACATTGACGCTTTACTTTAACAACTGAATCAATTATTAAATCTATTGATTTATGCTTGTGTACAAATGAACAAAACAACAACAAAAACATCGATAATAGTTGGTGTTTGGTTTGAGGGAATGCTGGAATTAATACATATTGTGGGTGGTGGTAGTATCCAACCTGTAATCGCTTTTCGGTCTGTAGAAGGTGTTTTCCGCAACATTTGCCTAAATGTTGTTAAATTACCTCGAATCAATTTTGTTACACTCAAATAAACTTTAAAATGTGTAAAGGAATTATGCAGAATAACAGAGAATTTTTGTTATTGAAAAAATAATTTTTAAACAAAATATTAAACCAATTTTTTAAGGGCCATCAAAGCGACTGAAGCTTGATTGATTTGAAACAAAAAATATTGTTGAATATTATTTTTTTGGGCTGGGATTTTTTTAAAAATATTTTTTTCAGAGTCACCAAAGTGAGATTAAGTTATTTTAAAGGAATTTTTTCAACAACTACTAAGGCGTCAATTTCATTTCTTCAGTAACAATCTAGGCGTCGATTTTTTAAGATGCTATTTTCCGAAGACCACTAGGTCGTAGATTTTTTATACCCTTCACCACACAGTGGTACGGGGTATTATGTCTTTGTTCATATGTTTGTAACAGGTAAAAGGAAACGAGATAGACACAGGTTCGTCCATGCATGTTCGTCCGTCCGTCCGTCTGTCTGTCCATGTTAAATTGTAAACAAAGTACAAGTCGCATTTATGATCCGAATTTGATGAAATTTGGCACAGGTCACTTATTTGGCCCAAGGACGAACCCTATTGAAATTGAAGAAAATCGGTTCAGATTTAGATATAGCTCCCATATATATTTTCGTCCGATTTAATGTAAATGGCGTATCGAAGCCCCTATATATCTTTCGGTTTACAAGAAATTTGGCACAGCGTAATGAATTTGGTCTATAATAATGTGTATTAAGTTTCCTGAAAATCAATTCAGATTTAGATATAGCTCCCATATTTATTTTCGTCCGATTTTAGGTAAATGGTGCACCAAAGTCCCTGAAAATCATTCGATTTGCACGAATTTTGGCATAGAGTACTGAATTAGGTCATGACTGATGTGTGCTAAGTTTCGTGAAAATCGGTCCAGATTTAGATATAGCTCCCATATATATGTTCGTCCGATTTTAGGTAAATGGTGCACCAAAGTCCCTGAAAATCATTCGATTTGCACGAATTTTGGCATAGAGTACTGAATTAGGTCATGACTGATGTGTGTTAAATTTCCTGAAAATCGGTCCAGATTTAGATATAGCTCCCATATATATTTTCGTCCGATTTAATGTAAATGGCGTATCGAAGTCCCTATATATCTTTCGATTTGCAAGAAACTTGGCACAGCGTAATGAATTAGGTCTTGAATGATGTGTATTAAGTTTCCTGAAAATCGGTTCAGATTTAGATATAGCTCCCATATTTATTTTCGTCCGATTTTAGGTAAATGGTGCACCAAAGTCCCTGAAAATCATTCGATTTGCACGAATTTTGGCATAGAGTACTGAATTAGGTCATGACTGATGTGTGCTAAGTTTCGTGAAAATCGGTCCAGATTTAGATATAGCTCCCATATATATTTTCGTCCGATTTAATGTAAATGGTGTACCAAATTCACTATATATCTTTCGATTTGCATGAAATTTGGCATAGCGTAATGAATTAGGTCTTGAATGATGTGTATTAAGTTTCCTGAAAATCGGTTCAGATTTAGATATAGCTCCCATATATATTTTCGTCCGATTTTAGGTAAATGGTGCACCAAAGTCCCTGAAAATCATTCGATTTGCACGAATTTTGGCATAGAGTACTGAATTAGGTCATGACTGATGTGTGCCAAGTTTCGGGAAAATCAGTTCAGATTTAGATATAGCTCCCATATATATTTTCGTCCGATTCAATGTAAATGGTGAACCAAAGTCCGTATATATTTTTCGATTTGCATGAAATTTGGCATAGCGTAATGAATTAGGTCTTGAATGATGTGTATTAAGTTTCCTGAAAATCGGTTCAGATTTAGATATAGCTCCCATATATATTTTCGTCCGATTTAATGTAAATGGTGTACCAAAGTCACTATATATCTTTCGATTTGCATTAAATTTGACATAGCGCACTGAATTAGGTCTAGAATAATGTGTTTTTAGTTTCCTGAAAATCTGTACAGATTTAGATATAGCTCCCATATATATTTTCGTCCGATTTAATGTAAATGGCGTATCGAAGTCCCTATATATCTTTCGATTTGCAAGAAATTTGGCATAGCGCACTGAATTAGGTCTTGAATGATGTGTATTAAGTTTCCTGAAAATCGGTTAAGATTTAGATATAGCTCCCATATATATTTTCGTCCGATTTAATGTAATTGGTGCACCAAAGTCCCTATATATCATTCGATTTGCACGAAATTTGGCATAGCGTAATAAATTAGGTCTAGAATCATGTGTGTTAAGTTTCGTGAAAATCGGTTCAGATTTACATATAGCTCCTATATATATTTTCGTCCGATTTAATGTAAATGATGTACCAAAGTCCCTATTTATCTATTTATTTGCACGATATTTCGCATAGCGTAATAAATTGCGTCTAGAATGATGCGTGTTAAGTTTCCAGAAAATCGGTCCAGGTTTAGATATAGCTCCCATATATAAAATTTCGTCCGATTTATATCTTTCGATTAGCACGAAATTTGGCATTGCGTAATGGATTAGGTTTAAAATGATGAGTGTCAAGTTTCGTGGAAGTCGTTTCAGATTTAGATATAGCTCCCATATATATTTTCGTCCGATTTTATGTAAATGGGTCCATATATATATATATATAAGGTCGGTCAATTTCATGTTAATGGTCCTTCAAAATGCGATGTCTGTTAAGATACATCTGTTGAACATACCCAAAGTGGTGAAGGGTATCATATGGTCGGCCCAGTCCGACTTTACTACTTTCCTTACTGGTTTAAACAATCTGTTTTGAAGGGTCGCAAAGGCATCGACTTTTTAAAATAATACTTTCAAAGTGCCTACCAAGGCTTCGAGATTTACAGGTACTATTTTTCGAAGGGCCTCCAATGGGTTGATTTTTTTTTTTAATTTTTTTTGTGTTTACAAACACCAAGTCGTGGAGTTTTAAAAGAAAAAATTTCGAAGTGATTCCAAGGCCAGGATTATGTAAAATAAAATTTTTCAGCAACCGCCAAGGCGTACATTTTTCAAAGTATACCTTTGGACAAGGCGACGGAATCAGAAAAATAATTAATTAGGAGCTAACGAGACTTGGTGTGTGTAAAACAATATTTATTAAGAATCACCAAGGTGTTATTTTTTTAAATAATATTTTTCCAAAATTCTCAGATTTCTAAGAACATATTTTAAATGTCTATCAGAGCTATAATCTGAGAATGTTTAAGGGATTGGAATGATTGTCGGACGTGAAATCGTGGATTTTTTAGGAATATTTTTTTATATTTTGAAGGTCACTCGGGCCCATAAACTTAAAATTACTGGTAACTAAAAACTAGAGTTTTTTAAGGGCTTTAAAAACAATAATTAGAAATTAAAAAAAATATATATATTTTTAAGGACTAACGGAACTATACTCTTACTCTTAGACCTACGTGAAGGTCCTCCAAATTATGAAATTCCTCTAAACGAATACAGCTTAAATCTGGTTGATTACCTCACAAACTTTTCTTATACCTATGTTCCATATTATTCGTTTTAAAAAAAAATAACACTTACCTGCATTGAACGACGACTGGAACCGCTATTCGATCGTGACAGCATTGGTGGTCGCCGTTTGGTGGCACCACGACCCGCCAACAAATTATTCAGCAGCGATGGTGAACGGGCACAAATAAAGGCATGGAAAGAGGAAACCGTAAAAACGCCCAATTTATTGAGAGTATTCTTTGTGGGCCGAGAGACATGGGTGAGCAAGGACTGTAACAAGAATTGTCGATTTAAGATTTTGTTATTTTCAATGCGACAACGTCTTACCTTAGGGTTGGGCAATTCGCCACTCTGCAGCGATGCCATGTAGCAACGCAAACGGAATTGTTCACAGTGTAAACGTTCTAAATTCTCTTCCCATTGCAGGATTTGACCTTGGATTTGGAGACGGGTGTCCTGATCGGTAACCACGGATTGTTGTAATTCGGCCATATGTTTCAGCTTGTGATCCTAAAGGGAATAAAAACGGAAAATGAGGGTAAGGAAAGGTGGTAAACAGCATTGATTTGAAATATAAATCGAAAACGAAATTGTAACTTAAATGCAATTTTAACAAAGTTCCAAATAAAAAAATACACGCACACATTTCTATGTGTCACACGCTCGCATGTGTATCCCCGTGTATGTGTGTGTGTCATATACATTATTGTCGACATTGTATGCTTTTGTCATTATTTTCAACGCCCATTAGTTGGATATATTTTTGTTGTCGTCTTTTTTCGCTCTCTCACTCGCCATTCTTTTTCACATGGCTTTTGTGTGTGGGATAGTTTTTGTGAGTACCCCCTAGCACCCCTCCATCTACTTCCCATTCCCATGTGCGTGTGTGTTTTCGAATTTGTTTGTTTGCCTAGCTTTTGGGCTTGCATACAAACAAATCCATTTTTTCCTTGCATTACACACAAAGTAGATTTTCCACTGCATGCCACCATAGCAGATGTTAAAGCATCCTTTTCTTTTGTTACAAATATACTATATATATGTTTATGTGGGTGTGTGTGGGTGTTTGTCCATTTGTTTGCCCATGTCCTAGCATATAAACATCGTTGCATATGCCAGAGAGGACGATTCGTTGATTCTTTTATGCCCGTTCGTACAATGGGCACTGTCACCGAGATTTGTAATGCAATCACACACACACTCGCACACATGGGTGTGTGTGCCTCAGTTAGTTTGTCAAATAGCTGCACACATCCAAACCCTCCTACCCTTTTATATATATTCAATATATGAAATAACGAAAAACATCAACAACAACGACTGAAAATACAAACGAAATAAACAAAAACAACACCAACAAATACATGCACACAAATGTGTGTCATCGTGAATTGACAATAAAAATATATATATATATATATATATATATATTAGGGTGTCCCGAAAGGAAAAGAAATCTGTTAATTGTATAAGGCAACTTTTTTAAAGACAATTATTATAGAAAGACAATATAAGAGAATTTTCTATTTATAGAAGATAAATATAAGTATTTTGGTAGTTATTGAAGAGCTCTATAATTGATGTTATTATTAGAAAACCTATAGAAGAGATTTTGCTACTTATACAATAAGTATTTTAATATATGTATAAGAGTATTTTCTATATACCTATCTAAAATCTCCTTTAATTGTATGGGACCTATGTATCAGGTATACAGATGTATTAAATGAACGGAATATTTATATAAGATGTATTTTCATAACAGTAGTTGTATGTAAGATACCTTCTAAGTATAAGAGAGTATAAGAGCCAATATACGAGAGTATATATGACCAATATACGAAATTTCATTAAGAAGACCTACATAAGAGATTTTTCTATTTATAGAGAACATATATATGGAGTATTTTATTATATGTATAAGAGTATTTTCTATTTAAAATTTGATGGAAGATCTATACTACAGATATAAGACCAATATAAAAAATCAATCTCTAGAACAAAAATTTTAATTATAGAAAATCTACATAAGAAGATTTTTAATTCTGTCAGACTTATATAAAAGATCTTTTTATTTATAGAATACCTGTATAAGAGTTTTGATAATTATTGAAGACCTCTATAACAACCGATTTTTAATTATGGAATGCCAGTTCCTAAGTACTTTTACTTACAGAATACAATTCTTGTATACTTACGTATACAAGATTTTTTACACAACATTTCGTATAATTTTGTGTAGTGAATTTCCACCCTAATGTTGAGCAAGGGGGAAAAATTGTTACATGTGCAACAAATGTGACAAATTTTTCTATGAATGTTGGTTTTTGTGCGCCAATCGTTCAGCAACAAATTGAAACCAGGTGAAAGAAAGTTCTCATCTCTGATCCATGTTATTTAACGGGGGTTTTTTGTTGGTAATTTTTTTACAGTGGTCTTATTTGACCTGTTGGCATTCGGGAGAAAAAATGCCAACCAAAATTTCGTGCAAATCGAAAGATATATAGGGACTTTGATGCACCATTTACCTTAAATCGGACGAAAATATATGGGAGCTATATCTAAATCTGAACCGATTTTTAAGAAGCTTAGCAGACATCATTCTAGATTCAATTCAGTTCTCTATGCCAAATTTCGTGCAAATCGAAAAAATATATAGGAACTTTGGTGCACCATTTAACTTAAATCGGAGGAAAATATATATGGGAGCTATATCTAAATCTGAACCGACTTTCACGAAACTTAGCACATATCATTCTAGACTTAATTCATTACGCTATACCAAATTTCGTGCAAATGTAAGGATATATAGGGACTTTGGTGCACCATTTAACTTAAATCGGACGAAAATATATATGGGAGCAATATCTCAATCTGCACCGATTTTATCGAAACTTAGCACACATCATTCTAGGCTTAATTCAGTACTCTATGCCAAATTTCGTTCAAATCGAGAGATATATATGGACTTTGGTGCACCCTTTAACTTAAATCGGACGAAACTATATATGGGAGCTATATCTAAATCTGAACCGATTTTAACGAAACTTAACACACATCACTCAAGACTTAATTCCGTACGCTGTACAAAATTTCGTTTAGATCGAAGGATATATAGGGACTTTATTACACCATTTACATAAAATCGGACGAAAATATAAATGGGAGGTATATCTAAATCTGAACCGATTTTCCCCAATTCCAATAGGGTTCTTCCTTGGGCTAAACAATTGAGCTGTACCAATTTTTATCCAAATCGGATTATAAATGCGACCTGTAAGTTGTTTACAATTTAACACCAACAGACGGACGGACATATATAAATCAACTCAGAAAATAATCCTATGCATATTCTCAAATGGAACTATGTGTCTATCTCGCTTCCTTTTGCCTGTTAAAAACATATGCACAAAGACATAATACCCTGTACCAGAGTGTGGTGAAGGGTATAAAATTCCACGGCAAACCTGGTCATCAAAAAACTATTTTGTAAAAAATCTACGCCTACAGCACACGTATATAAAAGTCCACACCTTGGACGGTATCTGAAAAAATAGTTTTCAAAAAAAAAAAAGAAGAATTAACGAGGATGCAACTCATTAAAAAAAATATTTTTTAAACCATTCAGGAGTAAATACATACGCCATAGAATATAAATTTTGTCATTAATTTGCACACAAAATTCAGGGTGCATTTGACCCGCTAAATAATGATCGATCTTTATCAAAACAGGCATGCTTATTCTTTGACCCGATCTCCTTCTCCATGTAAAATTTCGCGACGTTTCAGCCATAATTGCGGCATCTGGACGAGAAAAACTGACACAAATGAAGTATTTGGTCCATTTCATCCACTAAATATTAACAGATTTTTACCCAAAACAAACAAATTATAATGAACGGACTATTCGAGACATGACGATCGGTATACTTAAAGGTAGGTCTAGGATCAATATTTCGCGACGTTACAAAATATATTTTTCTTGGCTGCATACCCTGACAAGATAGTTGTATAGGGTATAGAAATCTACACCAATGTTAGTCATTAAAAAATATATTTTTTAAAAAGTCCATAAGTACATATCGTATTGTCTTAAAAAAAAATATTTGTTTAAAAATCTCTCCCTCGGATGGTCCTTGATAATATCGATATTTTTTAAACAAAACCATGCGCGGTCCTTGAAAAAATATTTTCTAAATATTCACGCCTAGTGTGGCATTTGAAAAAAATATTTTTTAAATTACGCTTATGCTGCCTTAATCAAAATTAAAAAGATACAAAGATACATAGGTACCTCGTCTATCAATTTTCTTTCCTACGGAAACCACAGTTTGATCCCTTGGTTAACGTTATCGTTGGGCGCCACTGTTGGTGTGTTTTTTTCTGTTCGTAGTTTCGTTTTAATGCTACAGACATGTTGGTTAGCTCATGTGTGTGTGTATGCCTACCATTGATGCTGGCTGGCTGGTATGGACCAGAATGTATTCATCCACACGTGTATGTGAATTGTTGTTGTTGTTGATGCTGTTGTTTAGTTGTGTACATTTGTAAAGAAAACATTTATGGGCATGTATGCCAGTGAGTGAATGAGTGTGTGTGTGTGTGCGTGTTGGTGCTCCTCTATGTATAGTACAAATGGTAGCGTTTGTTTGTTGTTGTGATTATTATTGTTGTTTTTGTTGTTGCTCTTTTTTACCTCCCTGCTTTCGTAACGTTTCGTTAGGATTTCCTAGAGAAGGGGTGAGCCACACACGACACAGTAAAGACGAAACGAAGCAGGATCGACGGAAAAGTACCGAAAAAGAGGAAAATTAAATTGAAAGCTGAAAAATAATTAGAGCGCAAAAAGCAGAGCATGGCAACACTTACTAGGCTCGGCACTGCAAGCAATGCATGGCAATGCAATGGAATTGCTATAGAAATGGCGCGTTGCAAATGCTAGGCATACTCGCAATACGACTAATTCATTTCCTAAAAATAAAAATGTCTATGCATGCATACAGGCACACTCGCACGTACACACATATGCATACATACCCTCACACACACACACACACACACACAATCCCTGGCATACAGAGTGAATGCATGAAATGAATATGAATACAAAATTTTGTAGAAAGCAGAAGCCATAAATAAATGCAGGTATATTTGTGTGTGTGTATGTATATATTATAGCTATCTATAGCTATGTGTATGTGCACATGTGTACGATGCATGCATGCGTGCATACATAACCAACTCATGGACCAGTGCACATAATAGCCAACAGCAATTTCAGATTGCATAATCTGCACAACCACGCGTAGCGACAACATCAAACATGGATGATATTTGTCGTCAGTGCTTCTGTTTTCGACTGGTGTTCGGCATGAGCTTTGGTTGAGGGTTTGGTTGGGGGGAGGTGGATGTTGTTGGCGTATGATGAACGTCATCTACCATACGCCGCATAGGCCGGTTGCGTTGAGAACTTGTGTTGTTTCGTTTGTTTTCTGGACATTTAATGGCAT